AGTTTTTGTACATAAATATTATTATGTCATTGTTTTTTTACATTGAATTTTATTTATTTATAAGGAGTAATGTATATTGTATAAATATATATATATATATATATATATATATATATAATAAAGATCAAATGAAAAGTGCGAAAATTGCACTTTTACATGTTTCGCTTTCACTTTTGTTTGTTTTTGTTGCACTTTTTCGCGGTGGCGAAAAAATAATTTATTTACAAAACTGCCACTATGGTTTTGGCAGAATTTGCCCAAAATCGCAAAGGCGAAAAAGTGCTACGGAAACAAGCAAAAGTGCAAGCGAAACATGTAAAAGTGAAATTTTTGCACGGGAAGACCACTTTTTATTTGAATTCTTCCCTACACACACACACACATATACATATTCGAATATGTTCAAATCGAATATCATAGTATTTGTATTCGTATTCGAAAACTATTTGAATCAAGAAACAGATTTGTATTCGTATTCATATTCTATTTACTCGAATTCGAATACACATTTTCGAAGTCGAATCGCGAATCAAATCAAAATTATTCGATTTGTTTACAACCATAGGGTGGTCAACATCAAACTCTTTAGAATATACTATCTCCCTCGAATCGGAACATCAGGAAGTAGTGCGCATTTTAAGAAAAGTAAATTTAGGTGATATATTGAATTAATTAAGTACAACTATAGTTAGAATAATATAGAACCAAACCAATTTTATTAAATCCGGTATGTAACAATTTTAGTGAACAAGCCGAAAGGAAAAATAAGACAATCTTAGATAGACGAATGGAGTGATCAGGATGTTTTTATTGAATTTTTTCTGGTTTGATCTAATCTATTTAAGTCTAGTCTAGTATCATATCATCTCGTAGCTAGATGTCTAGTCGCTACATATTTTACAACTGTCGAGGTCTGTTCAGATTAAATCTGGTCTGATTTGATTTGATTTGGAATTTGAAATTAATGTAAGTAAAAAATAGCAAATATAAATAAGGAAAGGGAGTTTATCTTCGTCATATGAATCTAGGGTTTGTTCGGTAGCTTGTACTTTCTTCATCGGCTTATCAACTAATTTTTTTCATCAAATGTTGGACTTCTTATTTCCGCGCCCTCAATCCTATAGTAATCGAAATGAGCAAGTTTGAAGTTACATTTTTACTAAATTGACTAATTTTGGTGAAGAGGGCGTGGTTGCGACATGGACGACTCCCTAAAGAGTACAATAGAAATTATAAAAACGGCTTTATGCTTTAGTGGGTGTGTGTTTTGTAAAAAGAATTACCGTGTATAGAATTTCTCTAAAATGAACGTATTAGAACGAAAATAGTCTAATTCTTTGCATTAAAATCTGATCCACGTATTAGGCTCAGTTATAGTTAGGGGAGAGCAAACCCGATCCTACCCGATTGACCCGACCGAATATATCCGATTTTTTTGTTTGGGTTGGAAAACCCGACCCGAAATACCCAAACCCGACCCGATTCTTGCAACCCGAGACTTAAACGGGTAGCGGGTAGGGTTACCAAGTATGCAACCCGACCCGCCCGAAAAAACGAACTAGCGTAGTATATATATACTACTTTGAATTATTATGCATGTTCAAATATCTCAATTATTGAATGCCAATTACCATATTGTGCATGTTCAAATATTCCAATTACCATATTTGTACAACTATAATTTTGAATGTTGTATTGTTATGACTTTGGATGATATTTTGACTAATTATCACTTTATTTATCACAATATCAAATATGTCAATCATCGTATATTATTATTTTACATGTTCAAATATGTCCATTACCACATTTATACAACTATTACTTTGAATGTTATACTAGTATAACTTTAAATGATATTTTTACCAATTACAATTTTATTTATCACAATTTCAACATTAATAAATTAAAATCCGAATGGACCCGAAACCCGACCGCAACCCGAATTCCTTCAACCCGAAAAACCCGATAATTTTTTTGATAGAGTAGGGTTTGAATTTATCAAACCGATACCCGAACGGGTTTACCATTTTTGAACCCGACCCGCCCGAACCCGACCCGTGCTCTGCCCTAGTTATAGTAATTAGCATAAATTCCTCGTACAGTTTGAACGAGCTTGGTTTTAAGGGACGAAGTGAGTAATTTTTTCAGTAATATCCTACTTTATATTTTTTAGTTTATGATTTTAATTCATTTCTTTTTGGTTTTAGTTTTTCTTACCAATTTTGGTCGTTCATGTTGGAGATATGATTATATCTCAATGTCACATTAATAGTAGTCTTTTTTGGGTTATTTTTTAAAGGTCGCTTTTTATATTATATTTATTTAATATAATGCTTATTTACGTGATTTGCACCAAGTCTTCTAATCTATTGAGCCGGGGCTCTGCTTTATTCATATTGTGATGAATAACCTAAAAGCTACCTATCTGTCCATTCTGGTTAATGGCATCCCTCAAGGGTTTTTAAACCATTAAGGGGGGTTAAACAAGGTGACCCCCTTTCCCCTTTCCTCTTTATTATTGCAGCAGAATGCTTTCCTAGAGGGCTTTTCTAGGCTTTGCAGCAATTCTAGCATCAACGTGTTCACACCATCCTTTGGAGTTTACTTCTCTAGCGATGATAACGTGTAATTAACGAGATCATGGGGCTGCATTTTCAGTGTTGATCTCTATCATCATGCCATAACGACTGAAGTGACACCTACTATAGTCGAAAGCATTGCACAAGTTCTCACTAATTTCAATCACTATATGCAAGACACATATCAATGTTTTTCATTGATATTTTTATAACGGAATATCATTATGGATATTTGTAAGAGTATTGGAGTATAAATGTCACTAACGATGATATTTTTATAACAGTATGGAAGCATTTCACAAGTTCTCACCAATTCTGTCCACGAACAACACCTAGTAACAAATCAACTCCAATACTAGAAAACTAATCATCATGTGTTTCCTAAAAAATACACACAAATCAATTCTGTTATGCCACCGACAAGTAATCTTCAAGATCTTTCACATCCTAAACACTAAAAACGGTTACATTCTAGAGGAGACTTAGGTCGGGAAAACTTAAAAGAGAGATGAAGCTCGTGCCTGTGCCCCGTATGGATTCCATCATAACATTCATTGTAGAGGCGACATCTAACTTCATACATGCTTGTGTTGCCTATTGGATCTGTCCAAATGTCTCGTGAGTATGCAAGCCGTGATTCCAGGTCCATATACACCATAAGAAAGGATATGAATCTACTTTTTTCATCGTAAAAGAGCAGCCGTTATATTAAAATCGAGAACACATACAAGACAACGCTCAGACAAAATTTACAGATCCAATCGTGAACCCTAGGAGTAGACTTAGAGACAGTCACCTCCTACAAAGCAACATGGCCCGCTAAACCTGAAACGGGCAATAGGCCTAAAACAACTGGAACTGAAACTATGCCTATCAAAAGAATTCCAAAAATCCAAACATTCAAACCAAATCTACTCGAACTAGAACAAAAACAAGTGATACCAAAGAGAAAATAATATTGAAATAAAATCTTTCCACAAAGCTCTTCCTGGTATGAAGGTAGTTCCAGAGGACGACGAGCTCTTACGATATGGGTGAATACCAACTCCACCACCGTCGGAATGGCCGACCAAGACTTCACGATCCGCCTCGATACAACCTCCCAGTTGCACCTCGCTCATCCGCCAACGCTATCTCCTCCGATGTAGTTGCAATCACAAGCGTTAGAACACCAAAACTCAGTATAAATCGCCGGTCCAACCCCAGAGTGATAGGAGCGACGAAAAATCTCAATCTCTACAAAAAGGGGAGACGGGCGTTAGGGTTCCACTCTCTCTAGAGAGAAGAGAGAACAGTAGCTGACACATTCTATGTTGAAATTTCTGAAATTGAATTCGATTCGATATGGATCTACTTAAATATCAACATATCAATGCATCAAGATGGCTCATTGGTGATAATTATCCCAAAAAAAATCCCAAACAATGGATTGACCCCAATTAAAGAGAAATCTTCTTGAAGAAAATTATGGTCATCCCTTTCACCTTAAGTTCAAGAGTTGCATTTCGAGCTTCAATCTAATAAGCCCTGCAAAAACCTCCACATTGAAAACACACCAAACCAAGCCCCACCATAATCCCAATGTCATCTCTCGTTTGTACCTGAAATTCGCACTCCATACACTATCCGTCCATGACACCATGACTATGGAACTACTCTCTTCTAGCTTCAGACCCTACTTGAATGTCCATCAATCATCAGAGCTCTCCTCTTCCTCACTGTCGCCTTTCCATCTCCAAATCCACCTTAAGATTTCTAGAAGTTCAATACCCATTTCTCCAAGTTTTAGAATTTCGGCCGTCGCGGTAGATTCCAAAGAACTCCCGGCAAACAGTCCTCAAAGACTTCTCAAAGAGCTAGCGGAGCGCAGAAAAGTAGCTTCCCCCAAGAGAAAGGCGCCGGAGAGACGGTTTATACTCAAGCCTCCGCTAGATGATGCAAAGTTAGCAGAAAGGTTTCTGAATAGCCCGCAATTATCCCTAAAATCGTTCCCTTTATTGAGTTCTTGCCTGCCCTCTTCTAGGCTTAATAATCAAGATAAAGCTTGGATAGATGAGCATTTGCTGGAGGCCAAACAGGCCTTGGGATATCCTCTGGAGCCATCCGATAATTTCGGGGATGATAACCCGGCTAAGCAGTTCGATACACTGTTATATTTAGCTTTTCAGCATCCATACTGTGAGAAGAATGGTGCAAGGCATGTGAAGCATGGGCACTCGAGGTTAGCGTTCTTGGGCGAATATGTACTTGAATTAGCCTTCTGCGAGTTCTTCTTGCAGAAGTATCCAAGGGAGCCGCCTGGGCCGATAAGGGAGAGAGTGTATGCATTGATTGGGAAGAGATTTCTACCGAAGTGGATAAAAGCTGCCAGTTTGCAAAATTTGGTTTTTCCTTATGATGATATGGATAGATTGAAACGATTAGAGCGAGAACCTCCTGTCAAGTGAGCTTTCTTTCTATCATTTAGGGTTCATGAATGAATGCTATTGCCTTTTTATACCACTGATGTTTCATTTTAGTTGTACCTACGCTAACTCCACAAGTTGAATGTTATTAGTCCATGTTTGGTAAAACGCAATGTAAAATAATCAACTACTCCCTTTGTTTTAAAATTTGAAGAATGTGAAATTGTGTGGTTATGGTTTATCTGGAAAAGGGAGAAACAATATCATTTACACTATTATCCCATTGGAGGAAATAAGAAGTACGTTTTAGAATGGCTGATAAAGGAAAATATAAAGAGATATTTAGGAAAAGGGGATATATCTTTAGTGTACATACTTATAAAGAGATCTTAAGGAAAAGGAGCCAAAGTCTCTCTGTAGCAAAGGATGGAATAAAGCAAAATGACTCACTAAACTGTCTGCATTTCTTTGTTATGAAACGACTATGCAATTTTGACGTGATTTTCACATTGGGTCATTGGGAAACAACCTCTCTATGCTTAGTACAGGGGTAAGACTGCGTACGGTCGACCCCTACCCTACCGTAGGTGGGAGCCTTTGCGGCAGTGGGGTAATGATGATGATGATGATACTACATATACTCTGCAAATGTATTTGATTTCATTACTTCGCTTTCTATTATCCCACTAAAGAAAACAACATTCAATTATTCTCCTGGTTTAAGGAGCTGAACTGTTGGAGTTTTGTGCATCCATGAAAGATGTACATAGTTCCTTTTTAAGGTTTGTCGAAGAATAGTGACAATGGCAGTCCGACGTATTAAGTGGTCTTTCTAGGCTTTTTTAGTCTTGTGTGTTGGTTTCTGATAGCCAGAGTTTCATGTTAATTTTATAATTTATATGGGGCATCTCAACCAGGGAAACAAACAGTCCATTGATGAAGAGTTTGGTTAACATTATATGTGGAATCTGACAGCAACTGTAACAAGAAATATTTTCTTTTGGTATAATATGCTACTATAATGCCATAGTGGTATATGCTGATTACTGAATCAATCCTAGCAGTAACTTTTGCTTCAATGGCATCATGGCAGATCAGTATTCTGGGCATTGTTTGGGGCAATTTACTTGTGTTTTGGCCTGCCAGAAGTGTATCGGGTTCTGTTCGAAGTGTTTGGATTGGATCCTGAGGCTGAAGAGTGCCAACCTAGACTAAGGAGACAACTCGAGGATGTGGATTATGCTTCTCTAGAATTTGAAGGTAACAAACTGAGCTGGCAAGATGTTGCTACATACAAGGTTAGAGCTTTTTTTGAATGCACCATTTATAACTATACATTATTTGTAGTTACAATTATTTATTAGAATTTGAGTATGAAAAAGCATTAATCCCTTTTATTTGCACTCTGAAAAATGAATGCTGGTCTTCCGTGTTTAAAACAGCCTCCAGAAGATGCACTTTTTCATCACCCAAGGCTATTCAGGGCATGTGTTCCACCTGGCATGCATCGATTTCGTGGAAACATATGGGATTATGATTGTAGACCTCAAGTCATGCAAAAACTTGGTTATCCATTGGCAATGGCAGATAAAATACCAGAGATAACTGAGGCCAGAAACATAGAACTTGGACTTGGTTTGCAGGTATCAATTCTTTTGCTTTTATGCTTTTATGCTTATCATGACGCACTCAAGTTACCTAATTTTGGATGTAAAAATGTAAAATACAGCTTTCATTCTTGCACCCCTCAAAGTACAAGTTTGAACATCCACGCTTTTGCTTTGAGCGACTGGAATATCTGGGTCAAAAAATCCAGGTACTTATTTTGTATCCCTCCTGCTCTTGAGTGGAAAAATTAATTCTTTTTCTTGTTCAGTTTCTTTTTAATTTATATTTGTGCTTAGCTACTCTCAGATTTTATTTTATGTGAGGTGTATGTAATATTTTGGAAGCATAGTTGCTATGAACCTCTTTGGGGATGCATTATTGCATAAGTGATTTTATCATAATTCATAATTAATTTCTCATTTAAGCACTTATACTTCTTTTTTGAAAAGAATAAGAGCACTAATCTTTTTTTTTAAATAAGCATCAAAAGTGGTTTTTACTAATAAAAGCTCTTTTTTACATTTCCTTGCAAAAATACTTCCTTTTTAAGCAAAACTACTACCCTTCCTCTAATAACAAAGTGTTTTTGAAAAAGAAGTCACCCGAACACACACTAGATCCTAAAACTTGGGGTTTTCTCCTAATGCAGGTTCTTGCAAGTGTTTTTTTACTCTAAAGCTTTTTTAATTACATTTTCTTGCAAAGGAAAAAGGTACTCAAACACTCTCTAGATTCTTTAACTAGGGTTTTACTCCTAAAGACAGATCTTGTATGTGTTATTGTGTTTTACTCTTAAAAGCACCTCTTTACATTTTCTTGCCAACAAATACTTCTTTTTGAATCAAAACTCCTTTTCTTCTTCCAATCACAACTTATTCTTGAGAAAAAAAGTCACATAATAAGGTAATAACACTAGATTCCATAACTAGGGTGTTTCTCCTAATGCTTCTTGCAAGTGTTTTTCTCTTAAAAGCACTTTTTTATAATTTCTTTCCAAAAATACTTCTCTTTAGAGTGAACTAGTTTTCTTCCTGTAATAAGAACGTGTTCTTGACAAAAAAAGTCGCCCAAATACACACTAGGCTCTTTAACAAGGTTTTCCTCCTGATGCAGGATCTTGTTATGGCAGAGAGGTTGCTTATGAAGCATCTGGACGCCCCTGGAAGATGGTTGGCTGAGAGACATCGGCGTATCTTGATGAACAAGTTCTGTGGGAGGTATTTGCGGGAAAAGTTTCTGCACCGTTTTATCATATACAGTGAGCAGGTGCAGGATGCATATGAGCAAAATCGCAGGTTGAGAAATCCAGCCACATCTTCTGTTCAACAAGCTATTCATGGTCTGTCATATGCTGTGTATGGGAAACCAGATGTGAGACGCCTCATGTTTGAGGTTTTTGACTTTGAGCAAATCCAACCCAAGGCAGTGGTAAGGTAGTAGAGTCGTTGTCATTTGTTATATCCTCGACTGAAGATTTCAGAGTAGAAGTCAATGGCTGATCGGGGTTGCCACATTCACTAGAAGTCTAGAAGAAAGCTTAGGAAGGGCGAACACTTCACTTTCTTCTACCTTTTTCTCCTGTTTGTCCCCAACAGTGATTTGTACCTTAGAGTTTGCAGCAGATTATAAAAATGTACAAAATTTCCCTGATTATACTGTTAAGATGTACATCTACTGCAACTGGGTTACTTGGATGTATAAGATGAGTCACATTTTTCTTGGATTTAGAACTCAGCTTCTAATAGTTAGAGCAAGAGGCTATGTGTTTGGGGTAAAGACTAAAGACCCAGTTTGGTGTCCATAATCGTCAATTGCCATTGGTTTATCATACGGATTATGGAGAATTATTTTGCTTATCAGCAGAATCATTGATTTACTTATTTTTATGAAAAAAAATGATAGTATATGCTTTTGGTGTTGGAAAGTTCAGAAGATTTAGTCATTCCATTTAGACAATTGTTCCTGAATAGACCCTGATAGTGAATGTATGAAGTGTTTTTCCTCTGGCTGTATTAATTACTTGGTCTTGATCAAGAAATATATCTGCTTAATTGTAAGAGCAAAACCGACCTTGCTCGATTGATAATGCTACAACGGCACAACATATGCTATGGTCAATTAAAATACAGTCATCTAGTGTTGAAATCAACCTTCGTCATTAAAAAAAAGCTTATTAACGTATAAAGCATAATAGATTGTTTTCATGTTAAATCTTTATTAACTAGGATGCTAGGATAAATTAAAAAACACACAGTTGATTTATAGTTGGTTCACATGTACCTAATTTTCTTTTCGAAAATGCTATTTGTGCACAACAAGTTGTGTACAACATAATACGCGGACAATTTGACCGACGTATAGAATGATGTGTGCAAATTGCCGTGTACACGAAACATAATTGTTTTAATTTATGTACTTTCAAATTTCAATAATAGATTCTTTCACTTTATTTCCCCATTCACTCTTTGCATACTTTGTTCTTGAGCCTTGTTTTCTTTCATCCCCTCAACCATGTGCATAGTAATAAATCCCAAAGTGGTGAATTCCAAAATGCTTTTGGTAATGCACAACCCCTATTTTAGGTGAAGGTCACATGATGTTATTTGTATCGTACTTTTGGCTCTTCTTCTATTGTGCTTCGAGTTACATTTAGGTGATGAGTTTGGATGTAACAGCAACAATTCAAATATTGTACATTGAGCAAAATAATCAACTATTTCTTGTTACGACGCAATTGTCCAAAACTAAGTTGTTTATTTCTAGTCGACACTTCTAACATATGGAAATTTGATAGTAAGAAAAAAGGAACAAATATATCTTGGATTTGTACGTTACAAGAATACATGTAATTCTCAATTCACAAAAGTCGGGGAGTATAAATTTATAACAAGTGTTTCTCAAATAATATGTTAGAGGAGAACAACATATTTACATGTATGTGAATATGTGATAGCTCGATAATTGAGGCATGTATGTTTTCTCATATGTAATCAAAACTCTTATTCTTAATAGGGTATGAGTGTATGACAGTATGACATGCTCCATAATATTTAAGAGAAGAATAGTGAAATAATGAGAAGTGTAGAGAAAATAGGAACATGATACGGAGCAGAAAAGTATGAATGAAAATGTGAAAAGGTAGAAAAAGTAGTAAAAGGGTCCACAAGTAAGAATAATTAGAAACTTCAAGGAGATAATTTATTCAAAACGGCATATATAGCAAAAATTAAAATTCTTATTAAAATTCCAAAAGAAACATTTAACAAACACAAAATAGGAAAAGTACATATTTCGATCACATTCTATAATATTTGTTTGAATAATCCAAAATCAATCCTCCACTGAAAGAGACATATTTACTGAAGCAATTCTTGTTGTACAAAAAAAACACATTTTTATACATTGTCTATAAACCATTTCAGATTTCTTACACACTTTTTTCTAAACGAACTAATCATACACAATCAACTAAAGGATGTGTATAAATATACAAATCTTTTGTTCAAAGGGAAAATGGAAATTAATAATCCAACCTTTTAGCGGTCTTCTTTTAATAGTCCGACCTTTTTGTTATTCATGAATAATCCAACCTTTGCACTTCATCTTCATTCATTGGTCCCCGACCGGTTGATGACTTGCTATTCCGAGTTATTTTCTTATCTCTGCAAACTATTATACCATAAATTCCACCTTTGACAAAGATAATATTTTGCAAGGATAAGAAAATAACTTAGAATAACAGGTCATCAACCGGTCGGGGACCAGTGAATGAAGATGAGGTGCAAAGGTTGGATTATTCATGAATAACGAAAAAGTGGGACTATTAAAAGAAAACCGCTAAAAGGTTGGATTATTAGTTTCCATTTTCCCTAGTTCAAATAGAATTTTTGTTTTATTATCCATTCCCATTTCCCCCTAACTCCCGCATGGATTTCAGGAAGCAGTGAAGCACTGAACTCCAGAGTCCGGTATATGCTAATCAATGGCTTTTACTCTAAGCTCCATTTCCATTTCAGCTCCTTCCATCACGCGTAGAAGCTGCCAGGCTTCTACGGCTGTCTCGGCTCCCTCCGCTGTGCACATCCCTAGGCCACCGGCGCCGCTGCTTCCGCCTCTCTCTCATGATCAATCCTCTAATCCCGCCACTCTACCATCCTCATCCTGCGCCCTCCATTGCCCCCACTTTCAGATGTACGCTTTTAAGCTTGAATGTGTGTATAGGTTTAGAAAAAGATTCATTTTTCATATACTCAGTATATGACCAAGGTGTTGCTTTACAGGTGTTCAGGTTGTACTCAAGAGTTTAATCTACACCGTCCATTACTGATTGATGAAGCTGTGAACTTCTTCAAGAAGCTTGGCGTTAAATTCACCTTTGATAGTGGTAGATTGGTACATGATTCCAGCTTCAATGTTTTAGTTTCTCATCCTTCAGTGCATTAGTATTTTGGATTAAATGCATTTGTGCTTACAGTGGGGTTGGAGGTGCCGTGCTAAGCTTGCAGTTCGCGGTTCATCAGTGCAACCTTTAATTGGACTATATCAGGAGGGAACTCACACTGTTGTTGATATCCCTGATTGTCAAGGTATGCCGTACGTCATTATTATAAAAGGTCATAGAAATTTATCCAAAAGATTCTAGTGAATTTAGAGTTGTTCAGGAAGCTGTAGGGAATGTTAGTTCTAGCCCGTTTATTAGTATAACTAGGGGTTGAGACTTTCATTTGGTATAATCCATGGAGGCTTCTCAGGAGTGAAAGTGAGTCTAGGTATAGTGTGGTATTTCCAAATTTAAAGACTGGAGTTAGTTACTCGTAAGTTGTAAACCCCTCTCGTATCACTTACAATAAATAAGTTACTTTCCCACATTGTGCCTTTGTGTTACTGAATATCTCTATAGATGTTAAGTAAGGGTAGAAGCTTCTATGAGGCCAATCTCCTGCAGACACAAATATTTTGCATACACACATGTAAATGCATATTCATGCTGTTCAGAATTGATCTTGTTTGGTCCTATATTTGCAGCTCACCATCCTAATATTAATGCCGTTGTGAAACTTCTGAAACAAGGTGTGTTCTTCTACATCTTAATTATGGTCCATCTTTTATAAAAGTGCTTACTTTCGGTGTGCTCTTTCGTTCTTTATTAATATACATACAAATGCATTTTTCCTCTTGGGATTGACCAGCTATAGTTGAGTTGAATGTTGAACCATATGATGAAGATTTAGGGACAGGGGATCTGAGATATGTTCAGGTCAGCTACGTACTAACTTAATGGGGATATGAATAACTTGTGTTAGTGATAGCTTGCAATGGATATTTATGGTTGTTATACTTACATACTTGGCTGGAAACGGTCTTTCTAGATGGCTGTTACAACCCATGACACCTCTCTTCCAACCTCAGAAAGATATAATAAGGGTTAGAACCTGATTTTTATATCTTACACCTAGTGAGGTTAGGTACTTAGGTCTTTGAGGTTTGATTGGAGTTGAGAAGTCTATTGCATTATTTTTCAGGTAAAGTTCAGGTTTCTCTAGTTTGGAATTCAAGAAACGAAAACTCACATACTTCTGAAAAACTTAAGGTGTTGGCCAATGTAAGTTGATTATGATGAAGACACCTTGGCATCAAATACCTTTGCTTCTTTGCCTGTGTGCGTGAATTTATAAAAAAAAAAAACATTATTTGCAATGGTAGTTCTTGTGGAGAACAGGTGGACCATGGAGTGAAGACCATTTAATACATTCTGTCTGGGCAAATTTTCAGACATCATCAAATAATGTGAGTAACTCAGGAAAGTTCTACCTCATTAGGATTTTAGCTTCTTTTCCTCTTGTTCTCCTTCAACATCTTTTGTTCTATTGATGTAGAATTTTATTCTGATCGGGCAGCTACATAACTGCTCCAGAATGTTAGATATTTTCCAGAAGTAATTATCTTTTCCAGGTCTGGAAAGGAAAGATGATTGCTACAGTTTCTTGAAAATTTATTGTTTGTCATGCAGATAATTTTTGGAAATAGATGGAGGTATCTATTAGGGGAAAGAGATTTCTGGGAACATGTTGGTGGAATTGATGTGTCTTTGGCTCCATCTAGCTTTGGACAAGCAAATACACGGGTAGACGTTTTTTATTTTCACTTTTGGTACATGTGTGTAAAAGTATGATTCTTTTATATATATAAAATAGAAAATTGTAGATTCGCCTAATGTAAACTGACATGTGCGAACGATGTGTCTTTTTTGTGGCGTGAGCAAGGGGGTCAGTGAATGTTGTGAAATGCAAGACTTTTTCCTTTCACATAGGATAACTTATCAAGCACTTATTTTAGTGTAAATTATGGAGATGGTTGTTCCTTTGAGAGAAAAAAACATCAACGTCTTTGACTTACAATTAGGTATTTAGGTGTATAATAACTATTCTTTTGAACTTTTCTTTCCTGTCAGGCATTTGATTCTTTGCTACGCAAGTTACAGAAATATGTCCCATATGGTGCATCAGTTATTGATCTGTATGCAGGATCTGGTGTAATTGGATTGTCTTTAGCATCCACAAGGAAATGCAGGTGAGAATTGCCTCATTCTTGGCTTCTTGCTTATCGCCTCTTATTTTTTAACTTTTGAGATCTTACTATAGTTAACTGCTGAATCTATACTTCTTGGTTATTTACAGTTCAGTTAAATGTGTAGAAGTCAACAAAGAGTCAAGACAGGCTTTTACGAAGACAGCTGAGCGCTTGCCAACCAATCTTGATAGCAGCATTAGCTGGCACCATGCTGACACTTCAATAGTCAGTTTCATCTTGATGTGCACACATGCATCAAAAACTTTTTTATCACGAGAATATATAAATTTTCACATTCTTTGAGTGTGTGTGTGAGAGAGAGAGAGAGCTACTTTGTGTATTCTGATGTACACTCATGCATATACCTTTTGAAATGGATTCCTTCATATGCAGGGAGATGTATGAATGGAATTCATTATCGTGGAGTCATTAATGCTCTGTTTTTATTGTGGTGAGCCTAGGTGATTCTTGATAAACAATTTAGTTCTTCCCATTCGGAGACTTCTTGGATATTATCAACCTAAGTTAAGGTGAGTCATGCACCTTTGACTCACTCCATTTTCCATCACCCTAAAATTGGAGTCTAATCATGGTGAAAGGTAATAGTTAACTCAAACATAAGATATTCGCTCCTGTGAACTTACTTTTACAGTTTTACCCCCAACATAGACAAGGTCAAAACAAAATTCACCTAGTTAGAGCTACTATTATCCAACTCGCGTGGATCTACTTTCTCCTAACCTACATTTTTTTTAATGTTTACCCATTACCATGACCTAGTGACCTCAATCGAAACGGAGCATAAATGTCTTATCTGATTTCCCAAAGGATTTTTTGGTTTATCTGAATTCTGAATGTCATAGCCTCTTGGATACATATGAGTGAACTTGCAATTGAGATGTATATAATGCATAGGTATTCCTAACTCTAGCTGTTTTTGTAACATGGAACTTGGAACTTTTCCTTTTATTTGGTGCAAACAAGAAATGGTAAAAATCTCTAACCATAGTCTACTTTATGTCAGGAACCTCATTCTTGGCTTGTTGGAGCTGACGTAGTTGTGGTTGACCCTCCAAGGAAAGGACTGGATCCCTCTCTGATTAAAGCATTGCAAGCTGTGTCATCAGGGACACCTAAAAGCAAGCTCTTGGAAAGGTAAAGCAAACTGAAGGAAAATAAATAAAATCAATAATTTTTATATGTATTCTGCAGTTTAGATATCGGCATTTTAAATTTTTACTATTAAAGTGGTGTTTTTTCATGCCAGTAATGAAATGACAAAAGATGAAAAAAGACCCTGGGTTCTGCGCACAAGAGAAGCTTCAGTTTCTATTGGAGGAAGAACTCAGTCACAGGAAACCCAAACTTCTCCTCAAACTCTTATATATATAAGCTGTGGATGGGAAAGTTTTAAAGAGGTAAACCCTACACCTGAGAGTCTGTTTGGCTGGAGGGTTTTTGAGTAGAAGGCTTTAGAGGGCTTAGGTGGTGCTATAATCACCTTTTTGCTTTGGAGACCAGTTCAGAAAGATTCAAACTAGAACATAAAGATTGGTAACATAAAAGAAAATTCAACAAGATCAATAACATTTTGCTAAGATTAAGCCAGGAGAATTGAGATTAGACCAGATTTTGAAAATATAAATCAGATTAGTTTTTTTCATACAAAGAGGACGTGCCCTTGGGCCCTTAGTTTGTATCTTGATCAACCGATTTTTTTAAAAATGAACAAAAGCCAATTGAAATGTTATACGATTGCATATTACTTTAATCTTTCAATTTTATGAAATCTGACACATAGCCAATGTAGGCTAAGCCCTCCAAAGCTACATAGTTCAAACCCCAACACACAAACACAGCCTAAAAATTCTGAATTCCCTTATAGATGACATTTTTTCTTCGATCCCACAGGATTGCATTTCACTTCTATCTTCCAAGGCATGGAGTTTAGACAAGGCCCATGGCTTCAATTTCTTTCCAGGCACCCAAAGGTTGTGTTCCCTTTTTCCCCTCTGAAGTGAATTAGTAGTTAGTTTAGTATATGGTTTTGCATTGCTCATATCCATGGTTGCTGCTGCATTCACATTATACTAGTTATTGATCTTTGTTAATATTTTAAATTCATGGGACTAGTTTATATCAAGATTGTTTATGTGACATATAGAAGTTAATCTTGCTCGATTGCAGTATGGAGATTCTAGCAGTTTTTAAGAGAAGGTCAAAAGGTAAAAGGAATTCTGGAAAGAAGAAAAGACCCTCCTAAGGGTAGCTGTATTGTGACAGTGATAGATTTCCGTGGACATGTTTTCTTGATCCAGGCCTAGAAGAGTCATGTTGTTGTTATCTTTTAAGGGCATTTGGCCTATAATCGACCCCCCCCCCCCCCCCCCAATCAAGAAAGAATAGAAATGAAATGGGCATGGCCCTGGTTCAAAAAGATACGAGCCATGCAAAAGAGGCAGCCTGCCAAACTTTCACCCTCACGTATCAAATATCTAGTACGAGTTTGGGAGCTTGAAAATGAGTCGAAGAATATGGGTGAAACAACGTTGTTACTTGAGCATATGCAAATGAATATTTGAGCACGTTTGATTATGTAAATGAGTTTTTGAAAGCTCATTTCATAAGTTATGTATGCTCATTGGGTATTGTTGTCTTTACTTTAAAATGTCAATTCAATGTATATTTTAAAAGTATAATGCTACAATATATTCGCATATTAGAATTCACAGGAGTTGATTATAGTTTTTATTTTTTATCGAAGGTGACTTAATTCATATAAATAACATTCAGCAAGGGTACAAGATAATAAAAGAACCACATGTCATCATCCGCTTGTGGCCAAGACTGAGAGTAGGCCTGGACTCGGGCCGGGCGGCCCGACCCGGAACCGGCCCGGCCCGGTCCACCGGCGGTTCGGGTCGAACCGGCCCGGTGGTTCCCGGTTCCGGGCCCGGGTCTTCCATATGGTGAACCGGCCCGGCCGGTCCGGGCCCGGTCCGGGCCGGAAATAATTTTTTTTTTATTTTTTTTTGAAAATTTTTTATGTTTTGGGTTAGATTAGGTATTTTGGTCCATTTGAGGTGGTTTGGGGTGGTTTGGGGTTGAGAAAGAGGGGTAGGGGATTAAATAAAGAAGCCAAAAAAAAAAAAAATAGGGCGGGTGGCCCAGCTCGGAACCGGCCCGGTCTGGCCCGGAACCGGCCACCCCCGGTTCGGGCTCGGGCCTCAATATTCTGAACCGAGGCCCGAACCGGCCCGGTTCAGTCCACCCCTAACTGAGAGTTAACCACCTGTAAGAAAGCAGTATAACTCGCTAGACTGAGATTGGGCAACTTAAAGCCAATGACGATTACCGTAGAACTTTCAAAACCCAAACCTAATGCAAGAGTCTTACAGAGCAAAAGGAAATAAAGGCAAGACAGAATGAGAAATCCAAAGTAAAAACAAGCAAAACAAAAGATAACGATAACACCATGATTTTCTTCACCATCAACAGCAGATAGATCCTCGTCGGGCCTAAGCAAGCTGACCTGCTGCCTCCCCATTTTTTGGCCCATCAAGAGCCATGTCTTCTCCAACTGCATCTCCTGTGACCCGATTATCCCAAATCCTTCTCCGTTTTGTATCTCCAGGGGCTTCCTCCTTTACCCCTGTCTCTTTTTGTTGTGGAACATTAATCTTTGATTCAGCCGAAAAATCTCCCCCGAGATCAGCCTTCCGCTGCTTTCCGTATCCACCTGAGCTAGACGCCTCAAAAGATAGCCATTTGTTGGACCCGGTTGGGCTCATCTTCACTCTTCCACCCGCTCTGAGGCTTACCCCATAAGATTTTTCGGCAACAAAACCTTCTTCATACTTCAAAGGGCAAAATTTGTCAGAATGTCCAATTATACCACATAGAAAACAAAAGCTGGGTAGCTTTTCATACTTAAAATCCACCCAATGTTGGATCCCATCTTTTGTCAAAGTAGTACCCTTCTTCAAAGGCCTACGAACATCCAAGCACACCCTTATCAAATGCCTTCTTCAAATGCTAGATCATAATGACTCATCTCGAATTTGATGAATGAGCCTAAAAAATTGCCAATTTTCCTGCCAGACCTCAAATTTCTAAACTTAATAGGGGCATTATGATCTGTACCCAGAAACTAGCTTCAAATATATTCATAGACTCAGGAATATCGTCAGGCTGAACAGCTTTCATCAGAATTAAATCACGTTCATAAAGCCAGGGACCATCTTCAAGCACACGATTCATATCCAAAACATGATTAAAGTTTAGCAGATACCTTTTTTCACCAATTTCCGTAATAGTCATACCTCTCCCTGGCCGCCAAAGCGAAGTCATCAGTTCCTGAAACCCCGGCAGTTTGATTTTTCGATCGGTGACTACAACTCCAACCATCGGGAAGGTCTGTGCCTCGACCTCCTCTTCTCCTTCCTCTGTCGTCCCCTCATCGAAGTTGAGTTCGTTCAGTTGCTCTTCGATTGCCATTCTTTTGTACGAATTGACGACGATAACATCCATCCAAAGGACTGCGTGATCGAAAACGCTCTGCTATGACGCCCACCCAAGCCGAATTTGCCTTGCCTGCTCCGACAGCCACCAGCGGTTCCTTTTCCTCCCTGAAAATCCGATCTTCGTGGTAAAGAAATCGGAAGAAAACACCCTAGCGGCCGCACCCTAGGGAATAACGAAGATTTTGAGAGAAACTTTCGGGTCCGTCTTCACGCTTTTTTTTTTAGTTGATTATAGTTATTAATTAAGAAATTTTTGCAAAAGAGAAATAAAGAAAATTGAGAAAAAGTATATTAAAAGACTTGAGAGCAGAGGAATCAATAAACTATTTTATCAAGCACGTGAATTTTGATTTCATATATTCCATATCAAATTGAGTAATGATTGAAAAAAAGTAAGATTTAAGTAATTTTTTTACTAAAATTGCGAAAGATGACTATTATGGTTATATTTTCATACAATTCTTTTCTTTATTTTATGCATAAAATACATTTTGAGTGCTCCATCCGTCTCTCCAGATTTTGTCAACTTTCATTTTTTTGTACCAAAAACTTTGTCAGTTTTCTTTTAAAGCAATGAATTTGTGGCTCTTATAACTTCTCTTTCATCTGTACAAATCTCAACCACAAAATTGTTACTTTTTTCATTTCACATCCAGCGTAAAATTAGCAAAGTTGAGTAGGACGAAGGTAATATTCCGTATAAGCTTTCAATAATTTACCAGATTTAACCAATTCAACTGCTTCTGCTAAAGTTTCATCTTTATCATTCTCGGTTGTAACAATTTGTCTAACATCTTTCGTTTAGTTCATGTGCGAAAAACCAACTCATTGTAAAAATTTGAGAGGCAATAAGGTGTTTGACAATTAGTTGTTGATGGGTAGCTTATTGTGTCAGCTGTTGGATGTTGATTGATTTCGTTGGTTGCTTTGATTAGCTGATGTATTAACCGTTTATATAATACTCCATAGTATTTTGTTAGAGGATTGTTTTACAATCCGCTAATAAATCATTAAATCACTTTATTTAATGATTTACTAAATCATTAAATCAGTTGTTTTATTTACTAACTACTTTTGTATAGGTATCATATGAGTATATTCAGTACATTTCAACCATGTTAGTAGTACAACAACTGTACAAGCACTTACAACATTTTTGTTTAATAAAAAATAATTTTTGTAATACAAGTAACAATTCTATTTTTTGAAACATGGTTTTCATCTTTCTCATATTATAACAGAATCACATTTTTGCTAGTGTCTGATTCTTATATGCCCAAGCTAAGTAAGTTGCTAGTCCAAAACTTACACCATTTTTGTTTAATAAAAAATAATTTTTGTAATAAATACTCCCTCCGTCCATAAATGTTGTTCCAATTGCGGATTACGAAGGTTGACCGACGACAAAGCTAAATGATCCCTGTGAAAACTCGGATTATTTTTAGGCTGATTGCAACGGGGGAGAGTGAAAACCCAAATGTAAGCTTTTCACTCCCAAAAGAGCTGCAACGCGGAGCAAAAAATGTATGGGCGGGTCTCATCCACAATATAGAAAACGGTGGGGAGCTATTTGTAGACGGCCAATTGACTCCCTGCGCAAGACAGAAATTAGCTGGGCCCTCACCCTTTGAGAGAAGTGGATGGCTGTGGTGCGTTTGAGGGAAGCTGATGCATGGGCCCACTTTAAATAAAATCCCCAATTTATTTGGAAGTTTTATAATTTATTAATGGGAAAATGGAAACTAATAATCCAATCTTTTAGCGGTCTTCTTTCAATAATCCCACCTTTTGATTATTCATGAATAATCCAACATTTGCACCTCATCTTCATTCACTGGTCCCTGACCGGTTGATGACCTGCTATTCCAAGCTATTTTCTTATCTTTGCAAATCATTATACCATAAATCTCATCTTTCACAAAGATAATATTTTGGAAAGATAAGAAAATAACTTGGAATAGTAGGTCATTAACCGACCAGGGACCAATGAAAGAAGATGAGGTGCAAAGGTTGGATTATTCATGAATAATCAAAAGGTGGGATTATTAAAAGAATACCACTAAAAGGTTGGATTATTAGTTTCCATTTTCCCTTTATTAATTTATATTTTAATTTTTACAAAAAATATATCAAAATTCATAACTTTTCATTCTCTTTCATATGACACCAATATTATATATATAATTTTTTTTAAATATTAGTTGTATATTTTTAGGTTCAACTTTTTTCTTAAACAAATCCAAGTGTTAAAATTATAGTCTCATGGTAAGAAATTTTTTAAGAATATTCTTAAGAATATTTTTATCTACATGCCTGAGTTAATTTTTTCAAAAATAGATCTGAAGTAACAAAAAAATTAAACTCTGAATTTATTTTTTTTACATCAGAATGTTTGACTTTTAAAATCATAATTATTAGTAAAACTAAAATTACCACATAAATGATGTGTATTAAATAAAGTAAGGATTTGTGAATTTAACTTAAAAAATATGTACTGAGTTAATATATTCACTACTAGAGAAACAGTTTTTAGAGGCGCTTAACCAGAGGCGCATTTATAAAAGTGCTGATCTTGTATATAATTTCTTATATTACACACGCTTATAGAAAAGCGCCCCTAATGTCTTTGGTGCATTTTAATATCCGGTTGAACTAAACAAGAGGTTTTTTACGGAGTAAAGCCTAATGCAGCAGCTGCCTAAAGCCCTAAAATGATCGATACATCATACTTTATCAGTTTATCTATCACATCATATTTGTTCTTTCTTCTTAAAAGAAATGAAATCCCTATCCATCCAACAGATCAGAGCATCTCTCCTCGCCAACCTCGTCTCCGTTTCAGTATCATAGATCGATCACTCGTAACATATCTCATCGTCGACGTCTCTCAGCATCAAACAAACCGTCCGCCGGAGTAGTTTCAGTCTGCTCGGAAACTTCTCAACTCTCATTAAACTCGTCTCTCACAAAATCGGCTATCGTTAAGGAGTTCTCCAGGTACATAGCAAGTGGGTGAGTTGATTTTCCCTTTTAATTTAGACAAACAATGTGTAATTTCTGATGAAATTGATGTATCCTCACGGTTTAATGATTGATTACTTGAAGTTATAACCATTCCATTGTTGTTGCGGAAAATAGGTCCATGTACACCTAGGACAATTTTTCTGTTATTTTGTTCTTAGACTGAAATTGTTTTGTTCCTTCGGAG